CATTTTATATATATATATATATATATATATATATTAAAAGTTTTAAGAAAATATATATTGAAATGAAAAAGATAAACATCTTAAAAAAATAAACAATTCTAAATCAAATATTTATGTATTTAAAAAAACAAAAACAAATTCTAAACCCTTTGAATATATAAGGATACAGTAGAATTTTTCTAAAGAGTTTACGTCAATTTATGCAGACTTCTTAACTAAAAACATTCTCTTTATTTTGAAGAGTAAAAATAAATAAATAGATTATAAAAAAATATTTTTGTATCAATTAAAATTTGTTTTTTCCGTTTTTATTTTTATAAGAATGGATTTGGTGAGAATGAATTACACATGTTTAATAATCAAAATCATTTTTGCTCTATTATTTTTATATTATAAAAAATTTAATTATTAAACAATATATTACATTTTTTTATTTAATATCGATTAATTGAAAGGAAATATAATATAATGAGACCGACAATTTTACAACTTATCTTCCACAGTTTTCCTCAAAAAATAAAGAAAATAGCTAAAATATTTCCTTTATCCAAAAATAAACTACACAATATCTATACTATTAATAAAGAAAATATTTCATTTTGGTATACATAACTTTTGGTCTAATTTATCTTTATACTATCTCTAAACCACTTGCTCTTTCATTATCTTTTTATTTATTTATTTTCTCTTTTTTTTTTTATAACAATATTTAACATTCAAACATTTCTATTTAATAACTGCTGATTAATTTTTATCAACTATTAAACTATTTAATAACTTTCAATAAAATATAAATTTTTTAAATTTTATTATTAGATCGAAAATTTCTTACTAGTAAATTATATATATATAAAATTATATTAATATAAGATGATTTGATACTTTATTATTATAAAATAAAATTTAACATAATATATATATTTTAAAATTATTTTAAGAGTCTATAGTAGTGTAATGCATAAGAATGAATGATGTTGTATTAAAGAGAGAAAAGGTAAAATATTAAGAGCATTATTATTATTATTATTATTATTATTATTATTTAAAAGGTTAAAGATCCAGCGCTGAGGAAAAACACGTCTTTCTTGAATCAGCGTTTCCCTTCAAATCCAATGATTTTGTTTGCAAGGGTCGATCGGAGGTGAGAGAGAGAGAGAGAAACGAAACACTCCCTCTCACCCTATCAGTTTATGCAAGCGTCCATTCATTGATTGATTCCGGGCCATGGGGCAAGAGAACAACCACAAGCGCACCACCAGCGCCGCCTTGCCCACCGCCCGAGGCCGCGGCGCCGCACTCCCCCGCGGCCGCCAGATCCAGAAGACCTTCAACAACATCAAGATCACCATCCTCTGCGGCTTCGTCACCATCCTCGTCCTCCGCGGCACCATCGGCGTCAACCTCGGCTCCCCCCACATGTGTATATGTACACATCATCTAAATACCATGTCAAATGCCATGTCAACCTTTTAAATAAAAATTATTTTATATTTAAATTTTTACATTATTTATTTTTAAGTTTTTATTAATATTTTTATAATTATACGATCTCCTCTCCCCTCCCTCCGTCTCCCACCTCTCCCTCTCCCCTCCGTCTCCCACCTCTCCCTTGCCCCTCCGTCTCCCACTCCCCTCCCCTCCCCTCCGCCTCAACCCCTCTCCCTACTTCTTGAACTCCCTCGCCACAGCCATTTACCACTCCTCCCTCCCCTCCTCCTCCGCCCTCCACTATTCCCTCCTCTCCACCGTCGACCATGACTCCTCCAAGGTTACCTTTGTCTCTGACGACATCCTCGTCCTCCGCGGCACCATCGGCGTCAACCTCGGCTCCTCCGACGCCGACGCCGTCAACCAGAATCTCGTGGAGGAGACCAACCGCATCCTGGCCGAGATCCGCTCCGACGCCGACCCCAACGACCCCGACGAGCAAGCCCCCTTGAACCCTAACGTGACCTACAGCCTGGGCCCCAAGATCCGCAATTGGGACGAAGAACGCAAGGCTTGGCTCCTCCAAAACCCCGAATACCCTAATTTCGTGAGAGGTAAACCCCGCATCTTGCTCCTCACTGGTTCCCCTCCCAAGCCCTGTGATAACCCTATTGGGGACCATTACCTCTTGAAGTCCATTAAGAACAAGATTGATTACTGTAGATTGCATGGGATTGAAATTGTTTACAATTTGGCCCATTTGGATGTTGAGCTTGCTGGCTATTGGGCCAAATTGCCCATGATTCGGAGGTTGATGTTGTCCCACCCTGAGGTCGAGTGGATTTGGTGGATGGATAGTGATGCCTTTTTCACTGATATGGTCTTTCAGCTTCCTATGCCTAAGTATGACAAATACAATTTGGTTCTCCATGGCTACCCTGATCTCATGTTTGAGCAGAAGTCTTGGATTGCTATCAATACCGGCAGTTTTTTGTTTAGGAATTGTCAGTGGTCTTTGGATTTGCTTGATGACTGGGCTCCCATGGGCCCCAAGGGGCCCATTCGTGAGGAGGCCGGCAAGATCTTGACGGCCAATCTCAAGGGCCGGCCGGCATTCGAGGCCGACGATCAGTCTGCTTTGATATACTTGTTGCTGTCCAAGAAGGACAAGTGGATGGATAAGGTGTTCCTTGAGAATTCTTACTATTTGCATGGATATTGGGCTGGATTGGTGGATCGGTATGAGGAGATGATTGAGAAGTATCACCCTGGTTTGGGGGATGAGAGGTGGCCCTTTGTGACGCATTTTGTCGGCTGTAAGCCGTGTGGGAGCTATGGAGATTATCCTGTGGAGAGGTGCCTCAGTAGCATGGAGAGGGCTTTCAATTTTGCTGATAATCAGGTGCTCAAACTCTATGGGTTCAGGCATCGCGGTTTGCTCAGTCCCAAGATCAAGAGAATCAGGAATGAGACGGTTAATCCTTTGGAGTTTGTAGACCAGTTTGATATTCGGAGACATTCTGCAGAGAGCACTGAATCCAAGAGCTAGTGAGAATGGAGTTGTTCAATGGTGCTGTTATAGAGAGTAATTAATTAGAGACGATGAAATTTCATTTGGTGACGGTTCTCACGTGTAACTTCTCTGCATTTTCTGTTGTCTTGGTGCTACTTCGAAAATGTTAGGATATAATTCTTTCGTAAGTTATCATCTTTCTTCCAAGTTTGAGCAATCAGCCAACAAATTTTATTTACTCATCTGCTGTATACTGAGCTTCCTTTGTATTTGGGCTTTTGTGACATGAAATGAATTCAAGAACTTAATTAATATACTTACATGTCCTCTTGATTTTTGTTGTAATCTGTAGCTCAAGGTAACCATTAGTTTCAAACATTATATTTGATATGCATGTGTTTTCCAAATTCCAAGAGAAGGCAAAGGGAAGACAGGTATGATCTTCTCAACAAAGAAAGGGTGTGATAGTTTGCTTGAATTAAGATTTTGAAGTAGTTTTTTTTTTTTTTTTTATAATTATAATTATTATTATTCTTTTTATGTGGGATACAACTTTGTCTTCTGGAAATAATGTTTTGGATTCGCGTTTACCCTCATGATAACAGTGAATCCAGAATTTTGGGTGTCCTTTGACATGTAACGATGGGATAAATATCTATACCAGACGCCAACGTCTTTTAACTGCAACATTGTTTTGTCTTGGAACTAAAAAGGTATTCATAGTGAGTAGTGACAGATACATAGTGTGACAGCGGCATGATATTTGAACATCTTGCCTCATATTTCTTTGTCGGATGCTACAGCTTTTGTTCCGAGTATACATTTCTGCACGCTCTACAAATTGTGGATGTAAATATAAAGAATAAAGAAAATATTGTATTTTCTTGAAACTTTGTTTTCGCTTTGTAATATTTGTTTTCCATTCCCATTTACGAGTACTTCAGAGCTTAAGAAAATAAATGTTTGGGGTAGTTTAGTGTTTATCATTTATGACTGATGAGGACAGAATAAGAATATGCTATTGGTAATAGTAAGAAAGAACTTTCTTTTAGGTCAAACATATAATCTAGTAAATATGTGTAACGGATTTGCAATTTGTTAAAATTTATTAAATCAGTTTCTATACATACAAAAATCACCCATTTGGTCCTTTCAGTATTCACTCTTAAATTACATTTGTGACGATCATACTTGGACCGTTAAATGTATACACGCCCTCTCCACCTGTATTCTCCCTTTACAAACCTTTAATTCTTTAACGTTGTTCCAGTTCTTCTCCAGCAGGAACAGTCGAAGACACTTCTTGAATTGCCAAACCTTTTGTATCCGGTAAACAAGAGAGGGATATATGTTAGGCTTTGTGGACTGCCTCTCGAAATAAATAAGATAAAGAAAGTGTGTCGGTTCACTTCATTCAATGCGGAAGAAGACTTAACAAGTAGACTTATCAGTCCATGTAAGCTTAGGCTAAACAACTTTTAAAAAAATGAGATAACGTAGGGACAAAGTTGGCTAATAATTGGAAGGATAGAGATTAATTTAATAAATTTTTAGTGTAAGGACCAAATTGATATAGGAATTAAATTATATATGTTTTTTTAATTAAAGTTTTAGTATTAGGCTATCAGCCTACTCTTTGATACTATTTTTGAAATATCCTTATTAGCATTGGGTGAAATTTAATGCTTACTCCACTAATAAAGTGGGTTAACAAAATTTACATAAATTTTCACTTAAACAATGAAATATCAAAAGGAGTGTGAAGTACTCTTGCTGCGCCGTCGGTGATGGTAACCAAGTCGCTCTGAATTAAATTGGAAGCTTTTAAGAGATTCCTAATATCACATGACTTGTTATCTTTCGTAGGTATCCCCACGTAATCATGTCTCATGTAAATTATAATTGCATTGCAAAATGAGAAATTGAACGGAGTGCAAGGTTCCGCGTTGATTGTATAATAATAGCATAGTTATGCTTTGGTTAAAAATTAAGTGGCCACGGCACTTTTCATAGTTACGTTATGTATATTGTATCCGTAAGGTAGTAATTTCTTCATCATTTGTTTTTTTGGGTCCAGTCTCACCATTGTTAATTTTGTCTTTGAAGAGGGTGCGCTGTAAATCCTCCTACCCGTAAGAGCGTTAAATTTTGTTTGCATACTTCTTTTCCATATAAAAGTATAGAAAATGAAATGAAAACCCATAATTTGAAAATAAATAATCCTTCGAAAACATCAAACAGTTTCTTTTAATAATAATAAGAATATACATTTTTGGTTGATCTACGACATGCATCTCAGATAGAGTAAATAAAAGAATGGGATTTTCCAAAAGCTAACCAAATATGGTGCGAGTCCTTAAGTTAACATGAAGGGCCTAAATAGATGCAACATGAGCAATCCACCTGAGGACAAAAAACCTAGTGAACTAACAATTAGTAAAGTTAGAGTGTTCTGCCAGCTTCCCTGCGTAAATTCTGTGGCTACCTTCTGAACTAGTATTCATGAATCATTAGACTTCATTCGTCAAGTTGTTGCAGATTAATGATATAACCCAAAAGTTGGCACTTCATTCATCAGCCAATTTCCTTTGATTAGGTTTGAGAAGCCAGTTGTGAGGACTGTTCAATCACTCGGCTGCAGCAGGAACATGTGCGAAGAATGACAATTAGCTCTTCTGTCAATTTACAACCTAACTCTCACATGCAGAATACAAGCAAATTGCAAAATGCACATGCAAACAGTGATATTTCAACATAAAAAAAGAAGAAAATAGCAGCATCAGTGATAATCAGCCTAGGGTGAAGCTCTTGATCAATGCTCACAGTCACAACCTTTAGGGAATCAATCCCCCACTTTTGCAGCCAATGCTTTGTGACGATCTATAAGTATCTTATTCATTTCTGCAATCTGGTGCAAGAGTTGGGCAATTTTCTGTAAATAAAAGTAGCTAGCAGTTAGAAATGATTCAAATGAAGGCCTACATAGCAAATAAGGACAGTCAGGGAAGGGTTAAAAGATTAGTTGTTTTCACAAACACCAAAATTAGGTTTTTTCTTTCCCCCCTTTGGGCAAACAAGGTCAGGTCATTCTTTCCTATAAATCTCCTTCAATCCAATCCACTTGAAATGAGATATGACCCTTAAACCTTTCTCAAGTCTATTTAGATAAATTTTTTTGCGGACACTTCTAAGAGAAGAAATTAAGAAGAAAAAAATGAAATTATGTACAAAATTAATTTAATCTTATATATAAATTAATTTTAACCTACCGTAAACTAATAATTTTAACTTTTAAAAGAATTTATTTCATTTTTCTTCTAATTTTTTCTCAATCAAAAGTACTTACACAGAACTTGATTGGATTAGAAAAGAAAACAATGAGATGATTAATGCAGTCTATTTTCCATGGCACACAACACATGGCTTGTTTAGGCTTAATCAGCAAACCATACAATCATCTAGTTAATCAACTAACATACCAAAACAAGCTACACTATTTAATACAGTAAAGCATTTGATTTCAGTAACGATGACATGGTTGATGGCGTGGAACAAAATCTGGAATTGTTACGAAAGAAAGAGAAAAAAATAAACGAACCCCATCTTTGTCCTTGATGATGTTGATGAGACGAGCTTCATTGGGTGTGAGGGTCCTCTTCTTCCTGATGGTGCCGATGATCCAGCACGACATTAGCAGCGCCGCAGCGGACACCCCAATTGACCAAATTGCCCCTCTCTTCCTCAAAGAAGAGATTTTGGAACGCAAAATGTGGAAACCCATACCAATCCAGCCCCTAAGGTGAGAATTGACGGGTTGGGGTGAAGGAGGTGAGTGAGGAACGTGTTGGTCTGAATCTAATGAGAGAATTTGGAGATTTTCGTGGTTGATTGGAGGAAATACCAAAGGTTCCTTTGGATCCACCATTGTTGAATCAACTTGGGAACATAATTCAATTGGGATTATTGAAATATCAAACATAATAGTAATATTATCTTCAAACCCTTTACTGCACTACTCTACTGTTCCCTAAACCTATTATCTTCCTCACTTTCCACAACCTTCAATCTCAGCATAAAAACTATATTATATTCGACATGGTTTCTGATTCATATTTATATAGATTTTGCCATCAAATCATCAGATATATTTCGTCAAATAACTTTTTGGAAAAACAAACACTACCTTTTCAGTAATTTATTATTTATAATTTAATAAGTTATTTTTTTTTTCTTCCTCAAATTTGTTAATCTCAATTTTTTCAACAGATTCTTTTCCCTTTCAGCTTCGGATATATCCTATTTCATATTTTACTGTACAAATGGTGATTTTCTTTTTAAAACAAAATTATTTATTTTAAAATTATTTTTCAACAAACTTATTTAAACAAAAGCTAACGATACATAAAATCAAACTCATATATAAAAGAAGTTATTCTCACATAAATATATTTATTTATCTTCGTGGAAATGTAATTATATATATATATATATTAATATTTATAATAATGAAGATAGTATATTTATAATTATCTTGATCTTATAAATATATATATATATATATATATATATATATATAATTAAGATAGTTAAATCATTTTAAGGAGTACAATTAAATTAATTAATATAAATATTATATTATACAATTAAGGTAATATAGTAACATATTATGAAATAATAATTTTTATTATTTTAAGGCCGTAATATTTATTTCTATAAGGAAGGATATACTTTAGAATTCCTTTCCTTTATGCTCGTTTTCAAGTGTATTCTAACACTTGCTTCTCCAAGTTTTCTTTTGTGGGGTAGATTCGGTCTTTTGTCATTAGAGCGAGATACTTACAATAATACATCAACATTTAAGTAAGTATTCGAATCAAAACAATAAAAACTATTAAGTAAATAAACAGTCTAATCAATAAATAATATTTTTAACCTTATCAACTCTATATTATATTGACCTTATTAGGCCTAGTGAGTCTTTGGGCATAACTCTCAATTACCAATTAGGTAATTAAGTAGTTAGGTGAAGACTAATGATGACTTACCTTAATAGTAACACCTTACTCTTAATCTCTTGGTTTACTAAATAGATGAAGGGTGTTTTATAGAATATGGAGTGATCAACCAACAATACCTTTTGGAATGCATCTTTATCAAGGGTTGATGGGGTGTTTGGTCATGGTGATGGCCAACTACGTGTGATAATTAGTATTAGTGTATTCTAGGTACTTAAACACCGAGGGGTATTTGGTTTCTTTCTCAATTGAAGGGTGCCCTATGTTTGATGTTCTTCTACTAGCTTCTCACTTTTTCGGTGTGGGTTAAGGTTGAGGGCGAGGTGTTCAATTCCTTTATGAGTCGAGGGGTCCATGTATGAGTCACGAGTTCTCACCGCGTGTGGAGAGCCGTGCTTATAGATGATAAGTGTAGCTAGAGGGCTATTTCAGTATAGTCTTATGTAGTGTTGTTTGATCAATAACCTAAGTAACCTTATAGTTGTTTCTTTTGAATTACTATATATATATATATATATATATATATATATATATATATATACACACACACACAATATACATGTTCAAGAACTACTTGTATGATAATCTTAAGTAATAGTTGTTTATAGTTGTCAGTAAGTGATTCTATTAAGTGTAGAGATTATGATAGGTCATTATATAAAACCTTTCACTTTGTTGATTTTGATTACTTGTAAGTCACAATATAATTTATTTTTAATGGATTATGAAATTTATGACATTGATTTTGTCTCCAAAAATAAATATTTTATTTCTTATTTTAAAATTAATTATTATTATATTTAAATATATTTTTAGTCTTTTAAATATTATTATGCAATTTTAGTCTCTTAATAATTGTTGGTGACATGTAAAAATGAGAAAAAATATTATCAAAATATCTAAAAATAGGTTCAAAGTCAAAAATTTTAACCTTTAATAATAATTACTAAATTAATAAGTTTACGAGTTTCTTTAATATATAAATGAAAATTACATAAACCTATTTTTCAATAAGAACCAAAGTTGCACATATATTTATTGCTACTAAATGAAAAATTATTGATATTAATAATATTATATATATATATATATATATCTTTATATATAT